TTTTTTTTTTTTTACAAAAATAAGCCATTTACTGTTCTACTTTCCTTTTCATTCAGCATGCTTTCTTAAAGATCTTTCTGTGTCCATGCCTATAACCACCTCATTATTCTTTAAGGATTTTTAAAACAGCTTTATTGACTATAATTTACTTACAATAAAATTCACCTGCTTTAAGTATATACCATCCAATGACTTTTGGCAATTTTCCAGAGTCGTATGACTATTACCATAATCCAGATGTAGAATATTTCCACTGCCCCTAAAAGTAGTCTTGTGCCTGTCTTCAATCATTCCCTGCTCCCATCCCGAGCCCTACGGCTCACCTGATCTCTGTCTCTGTAGATACGCTTTTTTCAGACATTTTATGTCGATGGAATCATACAATATGTGATTTTCTGTTCTGACTTTTTCCACCGAACAACATGTTTTTACCTTGTGTTTAAACCACTGCATTCAATGTATTCCATGGTGTGGATGTTCCTTCGAACCTTATTGCATCTTTCCCTCCTGTTGAACATTTAGGTTGTCTTGAAGCTTTGAGTTTTAACAGCAATGCAGTGACAAATATCCTTTGTCTACCTATGTGGGTATTTCTATAGGGTAGATTTCTAGAAGAGTAATTCCCGGGTCAAAAGGTATATACACTAAAATAATACGATCAAATTACCTTCTCTAAAGGGTGTCCCTATTTACCCTGCTACCAAGTATGGGTGATGATATTGTCTTCTAATCTGGTGGATTCTGACCCCCGAAACTATAGGATGTGGCAGCCTCCCCTTCACTCCCTGCAGTGGCTGCTCCAAATGACCAGAGTTGTCCTTTGTTCTTCTGGTAACTTTCTTCATATTCTTTCCCTTAATTTTAGTGATTAAAAGCACTTTTATGGTGAATAGAACACATACTACGGGTTGTAGAAAACTAATGTTTTTAGCTTTAAGAATAATGATACATCAGGGGCGCCTGGGTGGCTCAGTTAAGCGTCCGACTTCGGCTCAGGTTATGCTCTCACAGTTTGTGAGATCGAGCCCCCGGTGGAACTCAGCACAGAGCTGGCTTCGGATCCTCGGTCTCCCTGGCTTTATCTGCCCCTCCCCCACTCGCACGCATGCTCGTTCTCTCAAGTATAAATAAACGTTTTAAAAAAAGAATAGTGACGCAACAAATCCCAGGTATCCATCACCTAGGTAAAGAAAGGGAATATTACCAGCATCCTCAAAAGCCCCAGCGTGTTCCTCCCTGATGGATTCAAACCCTAAGTAAACATTATCCAGATTTCGGTGGTAACCATTCTTCTTCTTTCGAGTCTGCACCTATGTTTGTGTGGAAGATTTGTAATGAGTTGATGTAGTTACACTGGAATCACGTTTCCTCAAGCTCCCTTTCTGGCCTAGTTCCGCCTCAGCCGTCGGCCAGGAGAGACTTCTGTGTGAGCTTTACCAGCAGAAGCTGCATTCTTTTTATGCTCTGGAAGGTCAGCGCGAGGCAGCAGATGCTGATCTATGTTGTGCCTCATTTGCTGGCTCCTCTTGTTAGTGTGGGGCGGCTGCTGAATCCGCAGCACTTCCTGCTCCAGAGCCAGGTGTGCTCTGACCTTCATGACGCAGGCATTGGCGTCTCCAGCAGGCCATCACACGTTGAACTTGAAGGCCATGAGAGGCCAGTGCAGGTCTCAGTCTGTCGTTGCACGGTCCAGCTTGTCCTATTCTCTGCTTCACGTGATCTCTCCTTCTCAGCCACCTGTCCTGCCACTTCCAGGTCCCAGCACCAGAAGCAAAGACCGCAGCCTGACCTAGACTGTCTAGCCAGCTCCCACAACTGCATACAGTCAGATCCCTACAACCTATCTCTCCTCCAAGGGGTCCCGCTTTCCTAATTGAACCCTGCGTGACAGCGCGTGTGTCCTCGATAGAGGGTTTAGGGCTGCCTGTCTTTGAACTTTGTACTGGGTTCCAATTGTCTCTTTAACTGGCTTGCGTACCAGCTCAGAATACGGTAACCCTGTTCTGAGCCTGCTCCC